AATAACAAAACAACTTTTATGCCAGGCACCTGTGGCTCACGCCCGTAATCCTAGCTACTCAGGAGGCTGAGATCTGAGGATCTCGGCTCAAAGCCAGCCTGGGCAGGAAAGTCCGTGAGACTCTTATCTCCAGTAAACCACCAAAAAACCGAAGTGGTGCTGTGGCTCAAGTGGTAGAGCGCTTGCCTTGAGCTGAAGAGTGCAGAAACAGTGCCCAAGCCCAGAGTTCAAGCCCCACGGCTGACAAAAACAAAACAAAACAAAAACAACTTTCATGTCTGGGCTGGCCTCAAACTACAATCCTCCATTCTTGGCCTCCCAAGTAGCTAGGATGACAGGTGTGAGTGACTGATGCCTAGCTGCATTTTATTTGCTGGGAAGTAATGTTGACTTGAATGTCTGTGGCCGTGTGTGGCTAGTGGCTTCTGTGGCACCCTAGGAAGGAACTTACCCTGCCCCGGAGGGCTGCCAAGCTCCCATGGCAGACCTGAAGTCCCACCCAGGGTGGGACAGTCTACATTCCCAGCCCGCCTCTCAGAGACTGAATTAGGTCCTTACTTGAGCTCAGGGTGGAAGAATTGGAGCTGGGCTAGATTCCTAAGGAGTGGATGGATCAGCCAGCCAAGACTTACCAGCTTGGGGCGCACTCAGGCCTCAGTGCTCTCCCTACCCGTCAGCTGCTCCTGACCCAGTGGCAGACTCCAGATGGTTTTCTTTTTCTGTTCTTGGTGAGTTTTGTTTTCCCAGACAAGAACTGAACATATAGCCCAGGCTGGCCTCCAAGTTGTGATGTTCTCACCTCAGCCTCCCATGCTTGGACCTCGGGGCACAATTAGTAACCATGTTGACCTTTTTTGGCTTTCTTCTCTCCCTACCCTTCTGTCCTAAGCATTTCTGTTACCTGCAAACTTCCCACCCAGGGACCCCAACTCCCAGTGTACCTCATTTCACAGCCTTGTGAGCCTTCTCAGGAGTCTCCATCTAAACTCTTGTGCTTCAACTAGAGGCCTTCTCCTGAAGCAAGCCTCTCCTGTGCTACCCACATCCTTGGCTTTAGCTTACTTTGTGTGTGTGTGTGTGTGTGTATGTGTACAAGTGGGCTCCCGCTGGTCCTGGGGCTTGAACTCAGGGCCTGGGTGTCGTCTCTGATGTTTTCACTCAAGGCGGGTGTCTACCACTTACACTTCTGGCTTTTTGGCTGGTGAATTGGAGATAAGTCTCGTCTCATGAACTTCCATGTCCAGACTGCCTTTGAACCATGGTCCTCAGATCTCAGCCTCCTGAGTCACTGGGATTACAGACGTGAGCAACTGGTGTGCCCAGAAGGCACATTTTTTTCCCCCGGTACTGAGGTTTGAATTCTGGTCTTCAAGGTCTGGCTTTCTGGCTCACTGCTGGCACTGTACCTCTTGAGCCATAAGGCTCCCAAGGCAACCTGGAACCCCTGCAAGGCCCAGATTCTTTTTGGTGGTGGTAGTGGTGGCAGGGTCTCCCTTTGTAGTCTGATTGGCTAGGTTCCTCAGGCCTTAGCCTCTACGGGGCAGGGATTAGGTATATCACCTCACCTGGTCTAGATTTATTTCTGATCTGTCACAGCTATGGTATACCTAAGGGCAGGGGTAGCCTGGTGCCTGCCAACTTAGAGTAACAACCTTGGTGTAGGAAACAAGAAATGGAACGCAGGATGGGCAGGGCAGGCAGAAGGAGCTCAGCTCCCAGTCCTGTTGTGAGGGATTTAGTTGAAGGTGACAGACTGCTATAGCTTGCTGTCCTCCCAGAATGAGGACATTTGCCAACTCTGCCATCAACTGAGGGAGGGGCAGTCCCTTCTGGAGGATTCAGCCTTCACTCTGGTGTTCCCCACTTTAGTGTGGTGGAGCTGGGGGGTTGCGGCTTAACTATGGCTTAACTGACAACAGTGCTAGCCTGGGTTTGGGGGATGTGGTGGGGGGAGGAAGATCTGAAGTTCCAGCCCAGCCTCGGCTGCAGACTGAGATCCTGGCTCAAAAACCAAAACCAGAGGGAAAGATCTGAGGTAGGAGCTCTGGGGCAGAGCACCTGCTGAGTGCATGCAAGGCCTCATCCCATCCTACACAACAAAACTGCATACATAGCTATGCCAGAGGCTCACACCTGTAATCCCAGCTACTCAGGGGGCTGAGATCTGAGGATCACAATTCAAAGCCAGCCTGAGCAGGAAAATATATGAGATTTTTTGTTGTTGTTGGTCATGGGGCTTGAACTCTGGGCCTGGGAGCCATCTTGGAGCTCTTCAGCTCAAGGTTAGTGCTCTACCACTTGAGC